TTTAGGGTTTAGGGGTTTAGGGTTTAGGGGTTTAGGGTTTAGGGTTTGGGGTTTAGGGGTTTAGGGGTTTAGGATTTAGGGTTTAAGGCCGAATGGATTCGGCTTTTTCGGTATTTTGGGGTATTGGGGCGGGTGTTTCGGACACTTGTAAACTGCTGGTGGTGAGAAGCTCTGCCGTCTACAGAGCCTGGAGGATTGGGGGCGATCTGGCTCTCGACGTTCGTAGGTCTCTTCTTTGACCGGAAGTGCAAAACCGTCCGGCTCTCCCATCTACAACCTACTTTTCGACGTCGAGCCCAACAGCCACATAGTCCGAAAAAACCTGTTAAGCTGGGTCACCCTAAACCCTAAACCCCTATAAACCCTAAACCCCTTCCTCTATTCCTGGACCTCCTCCCGCCTGGTCCAGTCCCAACGTCCGGGGCCCGGCATCACTCCGGCGTCGCCCCGGCGTCCTCCGCATCTTTGCGGAGATGCGGATTTCGGGGTTTTCGTGTGTGGTGCTATGTAGGGAGAAGCCCCCAACACCCGAAAGCCCAGCAAGCCCCGAGCAGCAACAAGAAAATGGAGGTCTCTGTGCTCGGGCTGCTTTCGAGGCTCGCCATGGCGTCTGGACGTCTTTCTTTGATTTTGTTCAATCTTTCAAGTGTACCTGATTTACGGTGTAAGGGGCTCAGACTAACGCCAGGCCCAAACTTTGGCGGCCCGAGACTTATTAGGGTTCGGGCAGCTGACAAGTAGTCCTTCTTTGCCGGGGTTGGGGTTTGTGTTTGGGTTGAACCTGAATCCGGATTGAGGCGAGGCTTCGGCTCAAATCGCATGTGACCTGAGCAACTACCCCGGCGAGACAAGCGCGGTATCAGTGTGATTAGCTGTTTCCATCTCCTAGGGCCTTGTAGCGACTCTTGGCCATACTGTAAGAGATGTTCACGGCCGATGTCAGTGCCTCAACGCTACCCAACGGTCTTTAGTCGGCGGCATATGAGCCCCGCAGCATCGGGCGAGCAGACACAACATGGGCTAGGTGATTTGTATCGAACAACATGCGCGATTGCCCAGCCTGCCCAACGCGTTGCACCAAGAATCCTGAACCCTAAACCCTAAACCCTAGGCCCTGAACACCGGAACTCTTTGGAACCCAGAACTCCGACCGCTCAGCTTCAACCTCATCATTGGACTGAAACCATAGATCCGCAGATTTTTAATGGATCAACCGAATCTAGCCGGGGACGTGGCGTGACCTCGCATCGCCCACACAGGTTGCCTGCCTGGCACTTGTCAGAGTTCCTTGTAGTCGGAAGCTTCAACTGCAACTCGAATCTCCCTGCAAGAAACAGTGAGGTGTATACTAGTGCATACTGTTGTGGCCTTGGGCTGGCCAGGTGAGTCTGAAGCATTCCACGAAATTTGGAGAACTCATCGGGGGCGGGCGCTGCGCGGGTTGAATCTGTCGGTCTAGGGGTCTGCCTGCCGGAGCCATTTAGTGACCAAAAGCCTTGTGATGGCAACGGACACGCCTTTTCCTCAGACTATGCAATCCGGCAGTATGTAGCTTGAAAAAACAATGCACGAGGAACTGCCACGCTCTTGAGAAATTGGGTGCTCTCAGGAAGTCAGGATCCGCTGTAGCAGATCACGATGTGTAAGAAGTGCCTTACCAAAGCATCGGCACCAAAATTACCTTCTTATCGCAATGGTGAAAGGAACAGCAGAGTTTCGAAACTGAACCATAGAAAGTCCCCACCGCGGGACTCCCTTTCTATGGACGCTTCTCCCGAGAGCTTGTGCAATGTTTCCCAGTCACGTGGGACTGCACGTATCATCAGGGCGAGCGCGTCAGGTGGCACACGATGCGGTTTGGGTGTGATTTGTATTATATTCTGCTAGACCATGCGGTATTCTTGAATTTTTACTACATGACCTGATGCAGTACTACTTTACAATACTTTTTCCCTACTTCTTTCAGTGTCGTTTATCACATTATGGTATATGGTATTCTGGCTCGTTCTGCGGCTTCGCCTCTTTGATCCTGTCTTGTCTTTTGGAGTTTAGAGTTTTCGATGAGTTCCCAGAAGCCTAAAAGAGACAGAGAATGGCACGAGGTCAGAATGCAGCAGTTGTGAAGTTTGAAGTGCAGACATGACAACAAGCCTTCTTCTGCCAAGGATGCCCGAAGAACAGACCATGCCGGGTTTAGGGTAAAGCTTCACCTTCATCAAATTTTGGAGTTCTCAAAGCACCCACACCGCGGAGAACCTGCACAGACGGAACCCCTGCCCCCACTTGTGCCCGACCGGGTAAACCCGGCTGCAGCCATGTTGCTGATACCGTGGTTCACTCAGAGAACGTCGCAGTACTTAGACTTAAATCGTCGGAATGGCAATGTAACCCTGTCTCTTGGGATTCTCTGGGGTAGTCCCCTGATCCCTCAAGTCGGGCGGCTTCGGGTTGGGATGGATTTGGTCTGAAGGGGGCGATTCGCCAGCTTAGGGCTAGGACTCATTGCCCAGAACGCTGCAAGGAGTTGATAACCCCGAGACTCCAAAACCCTTTAAAAAGGAATATACGTAGGAATATACCTTAAAGTATAAGGGGGTCCCTGTTAAGATTTAAGGTATACTCCTTCATTACGGGGGTTTGGAGTCTCTGCGTAAGCAATAGATAGATGATAGCTGCCTGCTGTTCGAGTTGCTACTGCTGGACAGCGTAGCTCATGAACTGCTGCCTCAGAGTCGCTAGGGGTGTACGATTCTACTTCTACTTTCTTGCCGCAATGGTCCGCTGTGGCGCAGATGGGGCTCAACATGTGTTGGGGGCTTGGGGGTGCCCTGCTCTGAGCTGCTCACGCAGCCTTCCAGCCTTCAATGCTGGAAGGCCAAGCGTGGGTAAACTGTACGAGCCTGCGTGCCCAAGACCGGAAGGCTGTGAGCTACGGTGTCCGTTTTCAAGCTTAGCTGCCTCTTTTTGTCTGTAGGTGACACTCTACCAAGCAACATGCCTCACATAGCAGCTTCGAGCATGGGTGCCTATACTCGATTGAGCAGAAGACTCAGCACACAGGTATCCTACGATCATCTTCTGGCGGGCTCCAGGCCTGCAGGCAGTACTTGATCTGCAGTGTGGCTTCAATAATCGGCGAAGCTCTCGATGGAGGAATGGGCTGCTAGAGCTCAAGGGGCAATCCCCGTGGTTTGACATGAGACACAAGCAGCTCACACGCCCTCCGACCCATTACAGCCGCGCCGGCGCGGCAAAATTGAAGGACGGTACAGCTGGCCGACCGGGAACGGCAAGAGTGATGGGTATTTTCAAGCAAAAGCGAAACTCTTCAGGAGCTGAGGTGTGTGGCACAGTGTGTATGGCCCTCGGGTTTTTGCGGATACTCGGACTAAACTGCAGAGGGTCTCGGCCCTTATCTCGAGAAACGGTATCACCTTTGCCGCCCCTGGAGATCCCTAGCGTACGCTGGCCCTTTTGGGGCTAGCGCCACCGGCCGACCGCAGTACCGAAAGCTCAAGGGTGGGTGGCTGCTGCCATCAACGGACACGTAAGAAATAGGATCTAGTACCAGACGATGAGCATTTGGCATGTGCCATAGTATCTCCACGTGCACACGCGCACGCATGACACGGATTTGTATCAAAAATGAAAATACATACATACGTGCGTACATACAAACACACATACGTGTGTACATACATGCATGCATACATACAGAAATATATACATTCTGCATAAAAACATGAGCCAATGTCTGTGTCTCTGTCTGTGTGTGTGTGTGCCTGTGTGTCTGTCTGTGTGTTTGTGTGCGTGTATGTGGGTGGGGTGTGTGTGTGTGTGGGGGGGGGGGGTGCGCGGGTGTATGTGGGTGTGTGCGCGTGTGTTTCGCACACACACACACACAGAGGCTTTGCACATGGGACGTCGTTTCCCACCTGTTAGCATATACCCTAAACCCTAAACCCTAAACCCTAAACCCTGCACCTTAAGTTCATCCCACACAGCCACCCGGGTCAGGTTTCCAAGGAAGAGACTGCAGGCTCCTTGGTCCCCGGCGAGACCCCGCTTCGGTTCCTAATTTCTACGTCGGTTGCATAGCACACCTACTGCAGCGAAGCAGTGCACAGCATGCCTAAAAACGTACGTACATACATACATACATACATACATACATACATACATACATACATACACACATGCTTGCACTGCTACCTTTAAGTATGTAACAAGCTTGAAAGCATTAGGCGATTCGAGCACATTCGACACCCTTGCATGTGCCCACCGTGGGATCTTGCCGGGGCTCACAAGACATGGGGGTTTCCGAAAATAGGGGACCCTAATATAGTACCCTAAATAATAGGATCCCTATTATATACCCCAAAATAAGGTACCCCTAATTTTCGGAAACTCCCACATGTTTTTACCGCCTGCACGTTGGCATACGCGGACATCGAACGTGACGCACGTCATCCGCAAGCTTACGGGGAGCGATGCCAGCACAAGCATTCCAGGTAGGATGATCTTGCTGTAACAATATAGGGCCATGAATCATCGGAATGCGGATCTGGGATGATTTGGGTATACTAAGGACTATAAGGGGATGATATTACTGAATATTGGGGCTGCTATGTTAAGCTCCGAGGTGCTGACAGCCAGAAATCAAACCCGTCGCCAAGTCGACACTTCGCAGTGCTACAACTTCAGACGGTTTAGATTTCAAGGGGCTCGGGTCGCAGCAGTTTGTGTTTCTGCACCAATCTGAGCTGTACCATACAGCCCCAAACATAGTAATCCATATTGCATTCCTTACATAGTAACCCTGATGAGTAATTTAGAATAGTCCTTAATTACCTTTTTCAGTAACCCTAACCCCTTCAGTAAACTCCCTAAACCTTAACCTCCGTAAAACCGTAAACTCCCTAAATCCTAAACTCTAAACCCTAAACTCCCTAAACCCTATGCTAAGCTGCTAACTGGCGCTCCTGGGATCCGCCCGCTGCTCAGTGCGTGACCTGCTGTGCGTAGATCCTGCCCGACATGGCGGTTTCTTCTTCTTCGTCGCTTTCGTCTGCTTCTTCTTCTTCTTGTAATCTTTATTAGTGTTAGTCTCAGCATTTCTGTCTAAATGTCTGTAATTTACATGGGCACTGAGGATGACTCAAGAGGTTTGGGCTTCGGGAGCTACGATGCAATCTAAGTTGCACAGCCTCTACTGCAATGCATGGAGCAATCCCAGCCTCCGACACGTCAGTTGCTTGCTTGCTCTCTCTCTCTCTCTCTCTCTCTCTCGCTCTCTCTCTCTGAGTGGAAACGCTGTGAGCTTTCGGCTCCCGTTGCAACCACTTCCCCGGCGTCCTGCACACGTCCTCTCTGGACAAGCAAAACCTTGG